GAAGGAAAATATAATGAACTGCTACAATCTTACACAAACTGAAAATAATAATCAAAGAACTACAACCTTTAACCTGATCCTTATGTTTGATGAGAGACTATTCGGTTAAGTGACCACACATTTACGAGAGAAAAGTACTCATAATAAACAATGGAGACTAGCTGAAGACCGGATAGAAAACATTCAAACCCACCAAACCCGCATAAAAACTGACAAATTACTAACATCTTACGGCCCGGTAGAAAACATTCAAACGCACCAAACTCACATGAAAACTGACAAATTACTAACCTCTTACAACATTCAAAACCACCAAACTCGCATGAAAACTGACAAATTACTAACCTCTTACAACATTCAAAACCACCAAACTCACATGAAAACTGACAAATTACTAACATCTTACAACATTCAAACCCACCAAACTCGCATGAAAACTGACAAATTACTAACATCACACGTTTGGAAACCCGGGTCAAATACAGCCAACCTTACACACAAAAAACGGAAAGACAGCGAATTACATTTAACCTTATCAGACAGATGGCATCGAAATAGAATTCAAAATTCGATCAGGAAAATTAAGGATATGACAAGTTTTTGCATGCATCCCGCCACAGCAATCTATATCCCCTGAGTCGCCGACGAATTGAAAATACGAATTGCTTTTCATTCGACCCCGGTGCCGCGGTAGCTCTCCTTAGATTCAATTTAACTACTCAAAAACCAAACAAAAGATCCCTTTCACCCAGACCAAGTAACGAAATTTCGGCCGAAATTAAGGCCCTTATTTTCTCCGTCATAACCAGCCTTCCCTCCCCTTTGATAATTATGTTTGACAAAGTCGAGAAGAAAAAAAAATTCCAATATCTGATCGATTCTTCAAGTGGCCAATATGTGTTTCATGTAGCGGCACGCTAGGCGTGACCAGAGTTATTTGGAGCGTTCACTCATGCGAGCCGGTGCCTATAGCCGTTGCAACAGCCCTAACTTTCCCCATAACCGTCGCTCGTGCCTTGCAAGTTCGCCAAAGAAAATGTTTTCCAGCTCCGTGAACATAAAGCCGGTATGCAGCAGTTATATAACCACAAAAGCCTGTCGGCTCGCCGGAGAGAAGAAGAAAAAATAGCTCCTGGTACATTCGGGCATCTGATTTTATTTGCTTATTGAAGTCGACTTAATTCATATAATAAATAAATAAATATAATTACGAGGCAAAAAATAATTACATTAGCCGCGTGTAAGTGCAGTTTCAAAGGAAATGTGGAAAAGAGAATTGTAAGGCCGGGGGTGGGGGTGGAGGAGGGAAAAAAGGGGTTATATAAAAAATCTGAATCTTAAAAAAATAAATGAAGTGCAATTTCTTTTATTGCTGAATGTTAATTCTTTACTGAAGATCATGGGATAATTTTCTCTCCAATTTTCAACACAAAAAAAAAGTTTTCTGAGATTCCTATTACTTCTAAAGATTAGGCCTACGTTCCACATATTTCTATGTGATTGTTTACCAGTAATCCCCCTAACAAAGGGAGACTTATTGCTGCCACAATGCAAGCAGATTATTTGTTTTGTTCATCACGTTGAACCCGCTGTGGTCAGGCTGATCTAAACATTGTAAACAGGGTGAAGACTAGATTTGAATTATACACCATACTGAAACTACACAATAGAATGCCCAGCTAGCTTTTACTAGGCCCAGAGCACAACAAATCATTAAATACAATGTTTATTCATGTAAGGGTACACAAAACGACTTGTACGTCAAATATTAGATTATGCAGCTTAATATCATTAAGGCCAGCCCTGCATTACCATAAAGCTCACAACGCCCCCTATACAGCTAGCTATTGTCCATTATTATTGTGTTAAGATGACTGGGCTTTATAAAAAAAAACCATCAAACAAACAAATACTAGTGAGTTTCAAACATGACTGATAGCCTGTGGATATTCTATATTCTTCTTTAAATCATCAGGAGTAATGCAGTGAGATTATTTAAATAGCCTACTTGTTGATCAATTGCTAGATCTAGTTAGTTCCAATACAAGACTAATAATACAGCAGCTGGCTATACAGAAAACTGTATCAAAGAGTTTTGACTCTATCAACAATCTACAACATTTTAACTAACAGTTCAAACATTGCAGGCAGTACAAGTGTATAAAACACAAGTAAACAAGTTAATCTCTCTCTAAATATTAACATTTCTAACTTTTTTTTCTAAAGCAGCTTGCTATTTAAATAAATTAACCAAGCTAATTAACCCACAACAACACACACATGTAGCCAACATTTCACTTGATGCCAACCTACTAAAATCAACAAAACATCTCTACCATAGTCTGTTATACAACAAAGACCACATCTGTATTTGTTTCAAGTAAAGACCTTTGCACCATGAATTAGTTTACATTACTTTTATTTGATTTAAGTGTACATCTCAGACCTTTACTTTATATATTAGTTTTATTACATTTGCATTTCTTTTATTCATTCAATTCCTTCATTTATCTCAAAGCATAGAAACTTTTAAAGTCCAGTCATGAGTTAAGTTTAGAACAAAAACTTGAATTGTGGAAGCAATTTTCAAACTGACTACAGAAGCCTAGACACTTACAACCAATTACACCATTCAAAAACTTGAGTCTCTAAAGAGTTGATAAAAAACAGCATATGGTCAGTAGAGTACTGTCAAAAGTAACTACTAAACTTCATTCAAGTTTTAACTGACAATATTTTGAAATAAATATACAATCATTAATATTTGATATATCTTGACAAATTGGCAAAATCTACACATGAATATTAAATGTATGATATTTCATGTGTTTTTTTTAATGTGAAGTGGGTAAAGAGATCATAAAACTGATTTCAAAACTGCAGAGTATTTTAGAATTTCAACACCTCAGTAATTATGCAACCACTGCCTTATTCTGTTCCCATCAGGTGCTTGCTATTGGGTAATCCAGTGTTTTACCTCACATGAGACTCAGTGTTTATGTGCGAGTCTAGAGGCAGCTTAGAACCATTAAACAATAGCCATGGCAGCATTCACTACAACACCAACAGTTACAAGCACACACTGAGAAGAATAGAATACCAGCTTAGAACCATTAAACAATAGCCTTGGCAGCATTCACTACAACACCAACAGTTACAAGCACACACTGAGAAGAATAGAATACCAACTTAGAACCCTTAAACAATAGCCTTGGCAGCATTCACTACAACACCAACAGTTACAAGCACACACTGAGAAGAATAGAATACCAGCTTAGAACCCTTAAACAATAGCCTTGGCAGCATTCACTACAACACCAACAACTACAACCACACACTGAGAAGAATAGAATACCAACTTAGAACCCTTAAACAATAGCCTTGGCAGCATTCACTACAACACCAACAGTTACAACCACACACTGAGAAGAATAGAATGCCATCACTCAACACCTGTTACAGACTACCCAGACCCAGATGACAGCCTTCACTGCACAGACTAGCGCTAACCTTTATCTCCACCATTTATACCATTTTCAACTGGTTATAGCCAAATAGCTGAAGAATGATACACTCATAGCAATCTTATACCTGTTAAATCAGTTATTACCTTTTTTTATAGAGAAGTCGCAAAATCATTTTCAACTGGTTATAGCCAAATAGATGAAGAATGATACACTCATAGCAATCTTATACCTGTTAAATCAGTTACTACCTTTTTTTATAGAGAAGTCGCAAAATAATAGCCGTCTGAACACAGATCGTTAGAAGATTAAAACTTAATTATTGACAGGATGGATAAAATCGGGCTGGAGTCGTTTTAAACTAATTATTTCTACCTAGGCAACCTTATGATCAAAGAGATTACATACAATACTAAAGGTATTGATTTTTTTTTTAACAGAGAATCATTGTTCAATGCTTAAATCTATATTATTTTAGTGCATAAGGAATGATAATGGTGTCTTAATTAAACAATACATTACTTCAACAGTCATTTCAAATTAAAAAATAATGTCTATCCCATTACAAATAAATACTCCTGATAACTACTAAACAGAGATGATATTTTGTATTAGTTATGTAGCAAGTATAAACTACTTCATGTTATAACTGGTTTAAAATTGTAGCAGTTATTTATCTGTAACTTAAATACATTTTTTAATGTATAATTAATTTGGTTAATAGTTTCTCCATACAGTTATTAAAAATTACTTGAAAAGTTAAATTTTACTACCCAGAAGTGTATTTCAGTTGTGACAGCTTATTTGTAAATAACAATTAATTAAAACAATTAACTAAAAATTCCAAACAGTTTTTAAAAATAGAATTACTTATAATCAAAATTATTCTGATCACACTATCCATTCATATGCGTTGGGCACTGAAGCATGTGACTTCACCTGTTACTTATGTATAATTATGAGCTTGCTTTTTAAAATTAAATGTTAATGCGCATCCAAAAAAATTATAATACTATGGTGGACTTTAATAGCATGCTTTTAATTGTCACCCTGTTTACTTTAATGGCATGCTTTTAATTGTCACCCTGTTTACTTTAATAGCATGCTTTTAATTGTCACCCTATTTATTTTAATTATTAATAGCATGCTTTTAATTGTCACCTTGTTTACTTTAATTATTAATAGCATGCTTTTAATTGTCACTTTGTCTACAATGTAGTAGATTCTGGTCTACTAAGCCCTTTATTCAGCTAAGTTTGGGATGTAAAACTACCAGGCTCATTTCAACTGAAGTTATTTGTGATTTTGTGCTTTGTTTGTGTTACTACTTGATAACCATATTTTAAATTAGTATTGAGCAAATATTAATGATTTTATTTCTACTGTTAAAAAGTGGGTTACTTAAAAATTACACCAAAAGGGTTCATGGGAAATTGTTCAGGGGTTAATATAAATTAAGTTCATAATGAAAAACTTCATCGCACAGAATAAACATTGAAAAAGAAAAAAACATAATATTAAATAAAATGAACATACCTGCAACCTCTTCTCCCTCTGTCATGTCATATTCATCTACAATGAAACTGCGTGTTGATTCTGATATGTGAACTTTTCCTGGTTCACCCGATGACTCCATGATGTTTGCCATCGTCACATCATTGGACCAGACATCAAATTTAAAGCGGACTGTTCCGACGATTCCACACAATACAGTTCCAGTGTGGACACCCACTCGCATGTTAACCTGAGAAATATTCATCACAATTAAACATCTACTTGAATAGAAATCTAAAACTTGCTACACACTCCATGCAAATAAACAATCCTTAAATATTAGATTAAATATGCAAGATGATAATATGAAAAAGAGAATTTCAATGAAATATGATGTAGCCCCAGTAAAATTATCACTTGTGCTAGAGATACTATAAAAAAAACAGCTTTTAAAAAGTAAATACTTCTATATGTGAGCTAAAACAATAAAATAACCCTAGCAGAAAATGTTAAGGATGTATAATTTTTACATCAGCCTACTCTATACAAACTGCTGAAATACAAAATGCATTATTACAGCATTACAGATGAACCACAATAATTTAAACTTAACACCAAAAATTAGGTGTGGTCAAGCAACTCAACATTACATAGGTATAATAATTATTTATCAGTACAATTTTTGACAGTCAGGTTTAATAAAGGAAAGAAAACTAACTTATTTTATAGCAAGACCTTACCTGTTCATTATGATCCTCATCAAAATTTTTAATTGCAATGCACATACAAAGGCCCATTTCAACACAGTTTTTAGCATGTTGCTCACATGGGTTTGGACAACCAGATACACAATAGTAGCAATCTCCCAGTGTGCTGATTTTTTCACAGCCTGAGTGACTGCATAGCCTATCAAATCTCCCAAACAAATCATTGAGAAGACCCACGAGACGCTCAGCAGTTTTATTGGAACTCATCTTTGTAAATCCAACTATATCAGCAAACAGAATGCTGACGTTTTTCATTTCATCCATCTGAAATTTTCTAAAAATGATTTCACCTTTAACATGTCGAGATTTTTTGCGTTTTTTCATTTCTTCATCTTCCTCCTCATCATCAGTGCTTGTTTCTTGTTGATTCGGATGTGTTGCCATAACTGAATTCGCTATTACCGGTGGCATTAGGGAATGAATCATTTTTTCTTTTAACTCACGTTCAATCTGAAGATCTTTCTGAGCTCGAACGGACTGACCAACCTTGGAATAATTGCTACGCATACGGGCATTTGACATAATGAAGATAAAAATGCCCATAAAATGAATAATTAAATGAAGAATTAGTTTGCAAAGTACATATTCTTGTCTGCGCATTTCCTTAAATCTTGATGCAATAATGGCTTCATATGATAGAGATAACATGCCTCCCAATCCTGCAGAGGCATATAAAGTAATAGGGAAAAAGGAATACAACACAATTATAATTTCAATTACACCACAAAATGTCCCAATAGATGTGACATCAGGATCCTTATAAATGTATGGTAACTGTATTGCTACAGTTAAAAATATTGCAACAAAATATGCCACTGTTCTGGTGTGTCTTTCATAAAACTTTGTAAAAGTCAGAAAAAGTAAAAATAGCATCAGAGTGAACACTCCACCTGCACCAGCAGCATAATATTGCCATTGATTAGTTCTGTAGAGTGGATTAACATTTTTAACTACAAAGAAAAACATAAAGCTCAACGACGCTATAGCTTGATACTGCACCGTACTTCGAAATAATCGTTTTACATGAGGAAAGTTAACTTTTAGCATGTGGCTTTCTAAAAGTAAGCTATCAAATTTGGGGTTTAAAATACTTCCATTTGACCGTTCGAAAAGTTTGGGCAGAAATTTAAAACCTCGGCCACGAGATGTCTTTATTTTATCTTTAGGTGAATATTCTTCTTCAGTTTTGCCATCGACTGCGGAGCTGTGGCTGCTACGGGAGAACTTAACGGCATTCTCATTAAGAGTTTGTTCTATGTTGCCACTGCTAGCCTTCGCCATAGTTAGGCCTAGAAAAGTTGCTTCGCCATAGTTAGAAAAGTTGAAGTTCCGTTTTTCTACTTTCCGAAATGGGCTCAGCGACGCGGGTTAAACTTCGGTTAATTTAATGGACGATGTTATTGAGAATTACAAAATCAAATTTACAGGCGAATAGGTCGCTTGAAAAATTTATAAATTTTATAGCACACCATGCAATCATATTCCACGTCTGAGTAACAAAATAATTAAATAGATCTAGACTGTAGATCTAGACTGGATCTAATCTAGATCTAGATTCTAGTCTATTACTTTCTAGATGATCTCAAATCTAGATCTAGACTAGAGTCTAGATGTCATCGAGCGCAACAGACTCGCTTTGTTGTGCTAGGCCTATTCATTGCGGGGGTGATGGAATCTAGATTTCTAGATGTTGAATCTAGATTCTATTTCTATCTAGTCTACAGTCTAGTCTAGATAACCCGAACCTCGACATCTAATCCTAGAATCTAGAACAATCTAGATCTAATCTGGACTAGATCAATCTAGATCTAGATTCTACTTTTTAAAATCTAGAATTCTAAATTCTAGATCTGTACAATACTCTACAGTACTCTACACATACTCTACAATACTCTAGGGGTCATCCGTAATATAAATAAAGATTTTTACCCCCTTCCCCTTCGTCACAAAAAGCCAGACCCCCCCCCCCCTAAAATGACGTCACACCTCAGCCTACACCCCCCCCCCCCCCTCAAAATTGCAGTTTAATTTTTCTTAAAACATCGATATTTTTCCAGAATCTTGTCTGAACTCTGTCAAAATGGAGTATTTTAAATAATTCCTATTGGCCTACAATTTATTAAAACAGTTTTCTAAAACGCGAAATAACGGCTAAAACTCGTTTTCTAACATTGCTTTTTATTATATAATGCAAAAGTGTGACGTCACACCATCTGAACCCCTTCCCCCTCATCACACGCCGTCACAAAATTACGGACACCCCCTTCCCCCCTGCCCTTATGAGTGTGACGTCATTTATGGACGACCCCTAACCGGGTTTAGATTTAGATCTAATCTAGAAATCTAGGGCCTATACATTTTTAATTTTTTAACACTTTAAAAAATACGATGATTTTATCGAATCTCTAGATTCTAGATATAAAATGTAATTTTAAGTTAATAAAACAAATAATTCACCAGAGTATTTTAGGCAATTTTAGCGGTTTAGCAAAATCATATCTAGAAATCTAGTCTAGACCTAGATCTAGATCTATAGATAGTATTAGTATTAGATCTAGTAATTTATACTAATTTATAGGGCCTAGATCTAGAATCTATCTATTATACTTATAGGCCTCCTTAGACTTATTCAATTACTTTAGTTAGGCCCATGGCATAGATCTAGGCCTATCCCTAGATCTAGATTCTTGACTAGATCTAGACTAGAATTTAATCACCAAAGCTTGTTATCACTGTGAAATAATAAGCCTACTGAAAGAATTTAAATCACAGATAATTAAAATTCTTATTTTTGCTTTTTATAGGTCCGTTTATTTGTGGGTCTAGAATCTAGCTAGATCTACATAAATTAAATTATTAACACTGAGGCCTGGCTAAAACTCATTAGGCCTAATAATACAAATAAGTTATTTTGTAATACAACTGAGTAGGCTTAGTTTAATTATAATTAAGAACTGCTCAATTTAAATTTTTAAAGATAAATGCCCTACTAGGACTAACTACTACGAGACTCTAGGTCTATATTTATATAATAAAAATATAGATCTAGTTCTAGTTCCAAGGCTTCTTAATGGACTAAATGGTAAGTAGTAAGTATTAAACCCAGTTTTGCTATTAAATTTATTATTTAAACCCTGTGCCCTAGGTATATTCATTTTTTTTTTTACATAGGTCGTACTTAGAATATTATAGACCAACTTATACTGATATATAATAAAAACTATGAGTATGTGAATGAAGGGGAAGGGGGGGGGGAAGAGAGAGATATGCCAGATATGTTTGTGAGTTTTGAATGAGGAAGATGTTAAAAGTAATGTAACACAGTTTAATTACAATTAGGCTACAGTTAGTCTGGATTTTTGGATATTTATGGTATCTGAGTGGCAATTAATTTGATAAAATGCTTTTTTTTAATTTAAAAAAAAATTAATCTGCTTACTACAAAATTAATTCATCATGTTTAGTATTACAATCAGAAATCATTATATTTTTTCTTTATGACAAAAACACTGAGGTATTTTTTGTAAATGGATCCGCTTAATATATAATGTTTACAAACAGATGACACAGCTAATATTATTATTTCTATACAATAAAAACTCTACTTTAGCAAAATAGTGTCCTTGTTCCGGATTCCATCTCATCACCTGCCCCTTCACAGGTCACATATTCCTCAGTGGCGTTGCTAGGTCGGGTCACACCTGGAGTAATAACCTATGGTGTCACCCTTTAACACTAACAATTGCCAAGTATGATAAACTAAAACTATTTGGTGTCACCCCCCATTCCAGATGGTGTCTCCTTGTGTCTAATGATGTAAACAGCTTTAATGAGACTGTCTCATTAAAATTAGTTATATTTCTCTTTGATGTCACCCTTTCGGATTATGTCACCATGTGCTGTGCCTGTGTAACACTACTATGTGATAATACTAACACTATAGATTCCATTGCATTGCGACTATATTAATGTGATACAAATATGTGCAAACTATTGAACAAACTACGCTAATAAAAGAAGATATATTTGTATTTTAACCTGTGCCATGATTTTGCCAACATCAATTCTAAATACCCAAAGCAGCTTAAATTTTTTTTTTTATTACCAGTCACTAAAGGGAACAAACTCAGTATGCTGTAACAAAAATGCCATAATAGATGTTTAGGGGTTAATTAAATTCTTAGCAAATTTAAATGATTACAATAATGCTGTCAATAATTGTTAAACTGGTATGGTCAATAAAATATAATAAAAGCCAAAGTCTCAAAATTTTAAGTAAGACACGTCTCAGTATATAGCATCAGATTTATGACATTGCGACAAGTGCTCTTTAAAATTGTAAAAAAAAGTCGATTAATATTTTTAAAAAATATTTTAAGGCCTTACCTCTTCGGCATGATCCTCATCAAAATTTCTGATCGCAATGCACATATTAAGGCCCATTTCAACACAGTTTTTAGCATGTTGCTCACATGGGTTTGGACAACCAGATACACAATAGTAGCAATCTCCCAGTGTGCTGATTTTTTCACAGCCTGCATGACTGCACAGCTTGTCAAATCTCCCAAACAAATCATTGAGAAGACCCACGAGACGCTCAGCAGTTTTATTGGAACTCATCTTCGTAAATCCAACAATATCAGCAAACAGAATGCTGACGTTTTTCATTTCATCCATCTGGAATTTCCTGAAAATCATTTCACCTTTAACATGCTTGGGCTTTCTGCGTCTTTTCTTTTCTGCATCTTCCTCTTCATCTGGGTTTTCCTCTTCTTGTTGACCTGGGTTTGTGGCCATAATTAATTTTGCTACTTGTGGAGGCATAAGTGAATGAATCATTTTTTCTTTTATCTCACGTTCAATCTGAAGATCCCTCTGTAATCTAACAGACTGGCCAACCTTCGAAAAATTGCTTCGAGCGCGGGCATTTGACATTATGTAGATAAAAATACCCATAAAATGAACGATAAAATGAAGAAGTAACTTGCAAATTATAAATTCCGGTCTGCGCATTTCCGAAAATCTCCAAGCAATAATGGCTTCATATGACAGAGATAATAAGCCTCCCAGACCAGCAGCCGTATACAAAGTAATTGGAAAAAAGGAATACAACACCATCACTATTTCAACAACACCACAAAATGTCCCAATAGATGTAATGTCAGGGTTCTCATAAATGTAGGGCAGCTGTATAGCTATAATTAAAATTATTGCAACTAAATACGCTAGTTTTGTTGTGTGTTTTTCGTAATGTTTCGTAAAGGTCACAAAAAGTAAAAATAGCATCAGAGCTAACACTGCACCGGCACCAGCTACAAAGTAATACCAGTGGTCCGTATTGAAGTTCGGGTTGATGTTTTTGAGCCCAAAGAAAAACATAAAGCTTAGTGCGGCTACTGCTTGGTACTGCACAGTACTCCGGAACATTCGCCGTACGTGAGGAAAGTTTACTTTTACCAGGTGGTTTTCTAAAATCTCGCTGTCAAATTTCGGGTTGAACAAGCTCCCGTTCGACCGTTCGAAAAGTTTAGGTAAAAGATGAAAACCTCGTTCCCCGGACGATTTTTTAATTTTGTCTTTGGGCATTTTTACTTCAACAAAGTCTGCATCGACGGCTGTGCTGTTATGAGAAAACTTGACGACCGTCTCCTTATGGGACGGTTCGCCGTTACTACTGCTAGAGTTCGCCATACCTTTAGTTTCAGTTAGAAAAGTTGAATTTCCGTCTAACTTAATTTTCTGAAAATAGGTCAGCGACACAGGTCAAAACTTACTGTGTTATTCACAATTGTAATATCGAATCCACAGGCGAATATAACGCCTAGATGCTTAAGTAAATCACACATCGTATTTAACACATCTGCTTCATGTTGTTGTGCTGTTATACTCCATGTGTGAACAACATACAACCGAGTGCAACACACTCGATTTGCTGACTACACACTCGGCGATTGCGGGAAGTCACCACTTGCGTTACACTGCGGCGGTGATCACTCAGAAAGCCCGCCCGCTGTAAAATAAACTACCCGCTAGCGCTCTGCGTTCAGCGAATGTTTAATGAAATGCGGTGATTTCATCGATTTTCCAAAGTTAATATATCCTTAGAAACAGTTTTCTAATCACAAAACAAACAAAAAATCACTTTCGATTTAAATTAAATATAGGTTGTGCGTGCAAATATAAATTGTGTGTTAAAGTTTCTTGCAGTATTGCAGGAAGTAATTTTAAGGCCTAATGAAGGGTGGACAGAAGCGGCCGTGGGAACAATTTAGAGCGGCCATATCCGACTTAAATTTTCTATCTTCGCACTGTTACTGGCGGGCCACCCGTTATCACAGCGCCCTAGTTCACTACTGGGCCAATTTCGATAAAAAAAATATTTTAGACCAAGGCTTTATAGTGGCATATATTATATGCAATACCATTCGTCGTTTTTTTTTTCTATCTATCGTGAATAATTATTATTATTTTAAAATGCTGCACATGGGCCCTACACAAACCATTCATTAATAAAATCATAATAACAATACCGTGTTTTAAGTAACTTTATTTCCCCCTTCCCCCCGTTTTTGCGCTAAAATGAACTCGTAAGTTGGTTTTTTTTTTTTTGCCTTGTAAACTGCTGCGCCCAATTCAAATAAAAAAAAACTTTTTAAAAGACAAAAACAAACAAACAACAAAAAACATAGCTAGCCAACGCTCACTTAAAAAAAAAAAGAATATTTAACTTTGTATTTTTTTGTTTTATTCGCAAATAAAAATACTTCCCGTGTTTAATCTCGGCCAATCAACAATGCTCTTAAAGACAGATAAGCTGCATAAGATGTAGGATTATGCATACGTATTAGATTATTTATATTTTGCCTTGTGTAATCATTATTTAACGATTAAAAATATGAAATTAAAATATCCACACAGAAAAAATACAACAACAAAAAAAAACAAACACCGAAATTCTCAGAGAACCATTTGTTTTTAAGGACACCCCCCCCCCTCCTACATCTGCGCAGTTCACCACAGCAACCATTACCATACAAAATTCCATCCACCCACTCGCATTGGCCACCTTTATAACAATAACATAAAATCCCGCGTACGTGTGAGAGCTATACCATTAAAAATAATTTAAATACATTGGTCTAAGATACCCCTTAAAATTAACCTTTTGAGAAACACCAAGAAAAAACACCTGAACGATGGCCAAAACGACATCACACCATCACTAATTTAGGCCAACTTTTTTGTTCAATACAAAATTGTTTTTAAAATCTTTTCCTGAAGACCATTCGATAAATATTTGATTTTTTTTTTCTAGTTTTACGCGACCAATGTGTCTCCGTTTAAAACAAAAATTCACTTCCATTCATTGGAATTTAATGGAATGATCAATTTTAGACCGGATTCTTCACTCTAAGCACATTAAAAAGTCCTATAAGCAAAGCCATTCTATAGATTTCGCTTCAATGGGTTTTAAAAATATATAAGACGAAAGCTTATTTATGTTTCTGTGTAGCAATTTGTTTCACTTTTTATCGTGTCATTTTAGAAAGCAAATTACTTTCAAGTCAGTAAAAGAATACAATGAAAAACCCTAAAATTTACACCTGTTGATTTAAAAAAATAAAACGATTGAACTCGCTACCCAAAGGTGCGAAATGTTTTAGCTTTTACGTGAATATAATATGAAGGTGGGGGATTGAGAGGAATAAATCCCCCCTCGTTCTTTCGGTAGTGTTTCCATACAGTCCAGATCTATAAGCTGGGCATAGTTCCAGGCTTAGTTGTAGAGATACCGCTCTCTGTCAGGATTCCTTTGAAACATTTTACGACTCTAGGGGGGGGGGGGAACTTCCTGGTGGTGGGGGGGGGGGGGGGGATTTTTAGAATGGTTAAAATAAATACTTTAAATTTAAATGTAAAACTTTAAACTTTCTCTGAGGGATGAGACGGTGGACTTTCTACATGGGGGGGGGGGTGGAAAGGTGCCTGAAAGAAACACTGTTCTCTCCCTCTACACCCCACCCTTCACACTACCCCTAATTATCCCAAACTCGTAAAATATAACAAGGTTTACTTGTGTTTGTTCACGTACCTTACTTTAAGTCACTAGACTAAAAAAAAAATAATTAATCGATAAAGGATTCCAATTTTTTTTCTTCTAAAAAATGTGCTCGCTACTCTTCCTTAAGATTATTGCATATCTCTTCAGTTGATCGATCGCCATTACACGGGCGTTAAGAAACATGTTAAACGCGATTGGGATCAAAAGACTGCTTCATACAGCTAGATGCTCGATCAAGCGGAACTGGTTTGATATTTCAGGTTGCGCCTTAAAGAGCCCCCAGCCCGTTGCGAGTTTATTGATTAACATGTCATATACCGCGATATTAAAGTTTGATTTAATTCGGCGTGCTAAATTGAAGTGTTTTATGGGTTTTCTGTTTTTTTTTAAAAAAGCTTTCAGTTCGGTTTTTAAACTTTGCATTTTAATATTAATGTGTTTATACGTATATGCATTTGGTTGGGTCTCATTAGGTAGGAAATTTATGAATAGGCCATACTTCATGGGGATAGAAAGATGGAATGATGGATACTGCTGACTGCTGTTGTTTGTTAGGCAGAACCAAAGACGCAAAAGCCTGCATATACATTTATATATATATATATATATATATATATATATATATATATATATATATATATATATATATATATATATATATATATATATATATATATATATATATATATATATATATATGCATGTGTGTGTGTGTGTCACTTATGTAAAGATCCTTCGAATCCGCTCACAGGAAGACTGCCCAGCATAACAAGACAGGCCCTCACTTGGAGTCCACTAAGGAAGACCTGGAGACGTGACCTGAAAGAAGACACCAAGAAGACCTGAGACACCCGCGGAGAGTTGGCGAGACTAGAACAGAGCTGTATGGAGAGTCCAAGAAAGCTTCTTCATCTTAGGGTGTGCCCGATCCACAGGCCTTCTTCTTCTTCGTTCTTAGAGGTAATGTTGGAAGGGAGGTTCCTCCAACACAATCATGCGTCAACTTGCTATGCGCCATATTGGGTTGCCTCTGACTTCAGCCTGCTTTTCTTTATGTAATTGTCTTTGTAACCTTTGTTCAGCCAAGAACAAACTACAAGCACACAGCAGAACTATTGTTTAGATGGATAGCTGTTCCCAGCTATCTTGCCCCATTTGCCCGGGGGTTCGAACTCGGGACTTTTCGGTTTATCAACCATTAGCTTTACCTACCCGACCACGCGGAACCGCTGGGTCAGTTATAGAGCTTTTTTTTCTGTCGTTTTTTTTTTTTTAATTTTATCTTTTTTTTTCTTTCAATGTAAGCTTTTAACAACAAAAGTAGATGTCCATCGTTTTGATAAATAGTCTTTTTATAATCCCCCAATCTCATTAATTTTTATCCCGCTTAGGGCTTTAAAAAAGATTACTAAATTTTTTTAACGTTAACGACGGCAGTTTATCAGCCGAGGTACTCTACGTGCAAGTCCGCGTGAACTTTTAGAAGTGAAACAAAAAAGCGTGCATAAATGTGTCCTCTTTATGCATACTCTCATCAACGAAGAGCATAAAAATTGAGAGCCCGGGTTATAAATTTGGTTATTGGCGCTTGTTACCCATTCATCAACGTCGCGTGAAGCGCCCGTGTTTGATTAAAGCAGTGGTTCTCAGCTTCGAGCGCCAGGAACCCTTCCAGTGGCTCACTGCTACACGGAATACACCTGGGTGTTGACGTGTACTAGAGGAGATGGGTCTTCTGTCAAGTAGAGGAGGGGGTGGTGCAGTAGCGTAGCGAGGGGGGGGGGGGACATATGTCCCCGGGCGCCGAACATAGGGTTGGAAAAATAAATTGAAAGGTTGAGGGGGGATGCACATCGAAAGTTTGAGGGGGGTGCAAATCGAAATCTCGAGGGGAGGGGTGCAAATCGAAAGTTTGAGGGGGGGGGGGGGGGGGGGAGCAAATCAAAATCTTGAAGGGGGGGTGCAAATCGAAAAGTTTGTCCCCGGGCGCCGGGAAGGGTCGCTACGCCTCTGGGGTGGTGGTAGGAGATTTGACCTCAGACCCAACAGTAGAACTTGTGGCAGTAGCGTCATGATGTAGACTGTGGATGAACCTAGATCGGGATAGACCCATCTAAAAAAAGTTATGTCCCTAACGGTCTCAGTTTTTCTGTGTTAATTTCAGCATCCGTGTTATTCTTTAAAAAATAAAATAGATCTATTTTCTAAACTAATATGGCGCTACCCACACCAATTCGTCAGTTTTTTTTCTCTTTATTATCTTACGGCTATGGGGGGGGGGGGGGAGCAATGGAGACAGAAAGTGAACTTTTAAATTTGCTTTCGGGAAGGAAACAAGAGTTTATTCCAGGCATCTCCCCCCGAACGAGATGGAATTTATATAGAAAACATACTGTTACAAGTGTCCGGCCCCCGGAAAATATAGTCAACCCCCCCCAACCCGAAAATATCAAGTGCCCCCCCCCCCCCCCCCACGGAGAAAAAAGTCTGGATGAAACACTGGAAGGATGGAAGGAAATGTGTGTGTGTCAACATTGATGTGTGTGTGTGTGTGGGGAGAGCATTTTAAACTTCATATATAAACTGGGTGAAATTATTTATGGATGTCACCCCACACCCCTACACCCATTTTATTTTTTTCTCTAGACCAGAATAATAGATGAACACGGCTTCATCCACCGCATAACCGTCAAACTGGAGAATCTAGTTTATTTTCTCACATCAGTCTCCCAGATTCCGCGTCATTACATCGTAACCGTCAAAAGTCTAGATTTTATTTTTACATTTTATCTTACTCTTCTATATCGCATCATTGTACCTCTCCCTATTGTCAACAGCTTCTATTTGGCCCAACCCACCACACACTCAGGCACAACTCACCCCGACCCAAGATCCACTGACCCCACC